CCAGAGTTATAGAGAGCCAGTTCCTGCCTGAGGACGCCAAAGAACCCCTGGAGAGCGTACTTAGTGGCGGTGTACACGGCTGTATATGGAGTGGCGGTAACTCCTGAAATAACAGCGTGGTCTGAATTAGTACATACGCTGTAGTGGCTTATTACTTAGTATTATTATATATACAGTCATCTAATGGAAACGGTTCAAGTCTCATGATGTTTACTGCTATGAAATACGCACACTGGTCTAGAAGAAATACAACATTGGTCAAAAAGGTTGTCCCACCCCCGGTTTCATGTTCTTTTATTTATAAATGATCACATCACAGGAGTTAATTGCCATAAATTGTGTTTTTCATTCCAGATACCATAACTAACATGATTAGTGGTAAAGAAAATACAAACTAGCGGTGAAGATATCAACATTTAATACCATTTATTCACATTTATTACGTGTACCCCCTCAAATTTGACGTTTCACTGTGATTTTCACAGAGGTAAAGAAATGTCCATTAAATCGAAATCGACACCACCAAATTTCACCAAATTTACACACATTTAGCATGAGTGCGTGCTATGTGTCTAATAGCGTTCATGTTAACCGCGTACTGTAATTACCTCCTGTAGGTGGCGCAGCCCGCCTTCAACAAGGGTAACAATCCTTTTTTTGGGATATTGTTCCATTCTTCCGAAAGAGCTTGGAAGAGTTGGTCCAGATTTATCAAGAGTTACGTTTTCCTTTGCACTGCACACTTCAAACCACGTCACAGATGTTTAGCAAGGTTAATAACATGGCTCAAAGATGGTTGCTCCATTGGGTTTCTGCAACAAATCACTCATCAGACGAGAGTTGTGAGCAAGTGCATCTCCACGATGTCGCCCACAGTATCCCTGGAGTCACCTCTTGCAAATGAAATGAATTCAGTGAATTGCCCCAGTATCGTTCTTTTCCGGAAAGAACAATGCTCTTAAACCATGGGCTTGGAATTCTCTCCAAACGTGGACTGACCTGACACCTCAGGCGATATCATCCTGCACAAACCTACCAAAAGGCTTTCTGCAACATGTGTACAGACCCTAGTTTGACCATCGGAATCATTCATGAAATACCTTGATTCTTCAGCAAAACCAATTGTTTCTAGTGATGGTTGACCAAGCTCTGGTAGTTCTGGGATCACTGAACCTAGCATTCTTAACTGATACCTCATTCCATCTGCAAGAGGGGACTTCGGGGGTGATTCAGGCATCATCATGACAGCACACTTGCACACAGTTCTCATGTGGTGAGTGATTTGTTGCAGAAACCCAATGTTCTGAGGCTGGAGACACCATCTCTGAATCCAGATAATAAACCTATTGAGCACACGTGGCATGAATTGAAGTGTGCAATCCAGAGGAGAACCAAACTCCAAACAGTCCGGACCAATTCCGTCAAGTTTTTTAGGAAACATGGGGCAATATCCCACAAAACAGAATTGTTACCTTTGTTGAAGGTAATGGCGCCGTCTACAGGAGATAATTACAGAACGAGGTAAACACACACGCTAATAGACAAGTGACCTTTAACAAGCACACCTTAATGCTTAATGTGTGTAAATTTGGTGACATTTGGTGGTGTTAATTCAATTTAATGGACATTTCTTTGCCTCCGTGGAAATGACAGTGGAACATAGGATTTGAGGGGGTACATGTAATAAATGTGAATAAATGGTATTTAATGGTATTAAATATGGGTATATAGTTTGTATTTTCTGTGCCATGAATCATGTTAGTTATACTATCTGGAATGAAAATCACCATTTATAGCAATTAACTCCTGTGATGTGATCATTTATAAATAAAAGCACATGAAACTGGGGGTGGGACAACCTTTTGACCAATCTTGTATATACCATAAAACTAAGAAGAGTGATTATTTCAAATGATTCCAATATTAAATCAAAACACTCAACCTGTCAGAAAAGGTCTTCTGCAAGAGTGTTGTTCGATACTGAACAAACGGTACATTTTTTTCATCTTCTTCTTATTTGAGACGTTTTATTTCAAGTGATTGACAGGCAGACGACATACCCACCCGCAGTAGAGGAGACCACAGAAATGTGACCACGACTATTGGTTAACAGAGGTAGTGCATGGGACGCCAGGTGAACAAATGACCGGAAGTTAACGTCCATACTGGTGGTCAGTCTCGTGAAGTTGTCCCCTGTCCCCAGCCACGGCTGAACATTAGGGAGTATGGCATGGTTCAAAATCAGTATGTCCAGCCCTCCGAGTTTGTTTTCCGTAAACTTAGAAAAAAAAACAATAACGTTTTTTTAATATTTAGCCAATCGTTTGTTGCAATTCTAGAGATATTTTGCAGTTGTACACACTTTTAATTCTCACTGTTAATTGACACTGTCCTCACTGTCCGTGCTTTCGTTAAGGTCGCAAAATTCGTCACGCTTGTTTCCATGAATATTATATTATATTTATAAAAAAAGAATAAGATTGGTATCCAATTCCACTTTATTCAGACACCGTCCCGTACATTTGACAATACTGTAATTCACAGCGTTCACATTGTTCAGGACCCATATAACCCATCTACCAATTGTCGGGAGCGCACGTGGATCAAGAGACGCTCCCGATGACCTAATTACTTAAATAGACTTCATTAACTTTGTGCGCTGATTGGACATTGGTCCTGCAGCAGAAAATCCACCTAAGATCGTAATGATAAAGGAAACTAGTATAAAAGATCATATTTGTTGTCCCCACAAAATGAAAAAGACCCCTTTTAGACCTGGAAGACGGGCCCTTTTCTTCCCGGACCCTTTCCATAGGCACCTTTAACGGGCTAAAGAAAGTTTGCTGGGCATCCTCTAGATAATGAAAGAGATTTAGACTACCCTCCAACCTCTGTCGCCATTGCTGTCCTTCGTTAACCGTAACGAAATTTTCCCTTTTTGCCCAATTCACTTCGTTCATTATATCTACAAACTTACCTCTAATTGTGACATTGTCCCATTGGGGTTTTTCAATAGTCACTAGGACAGTCCACTGTGTGTGTGTGTGTGTGTGTGTGTGTGTACCTTGATAACTCTAGCTGGCTCCTCCATGTCTCTCAGATCAGCTACTGTGTACACATGGTTAGACTCAGGTGCCGGAGATAATTAACTTTTTACACTCTTTGATGACCTGAAACCGTTATTATGGAAAGATGTAAATGACACTCAACTGATTATTCAAATAACAACCCCAATCTGTAAGTTATAGAGCAGCTTGTGTAAAGAGAAATAAAATGTTAATAAAACACATTGCCTTAGATACGAAATGAACAGTTATACCGGCAACTGACCTTTTTTAAGAGATTTTCTCTGCGCGCCGTCAAAACAAGGTTTGCTCCCATCTTGGCGAAATGGTACGTCACCTGTTCTCCAATTCCAGAGGACGCCCCAGTAATGAGCACTCTCTTGCCTCTCACCATGGCTGTGATAAAACCGATATGCTCATTATTATTTTGATTTCTGTTATAAATCTGGAAATTTAATAACGCACTGGTATTTTTTTAATTCACGTGTAATGGCAAAGTTTCATGTGGCCTTATTTTGGGCAGAAGACGTAGATTGTGGTTATGATTTTGAAGACAAGGAAAGAAATATGGTACGAAATCCATGCGTTAGCACTGCTTTATGTATGTGTTTTCTGGTTGCTTTTACTTTGTTTATAGCGCAAAGAGAGAGAGAGAGAGAGAGAGAGAGAGAGAGTTGTACACAAAATATGATCGACTTGCGTTTTTTCAGCATCACCAAACTAAGTTGGTCTAACTAAAGTCATTAATCGTTTACGCCCACACATATTACAAATATGAGGCCCATTTCACCCGTGTAGAGTACAGTAGACTATATGAACATGTACATCAGACTTAGATAAGGACCTGCAAAGAGCGTTCATGCTCACCAGGATCGAAATCATCCACGTAGAGGGTGGCGATATAGATGGCAGTCACAGTGAGGAGGACAGCAACCAGTGTTTTTGTCTTGGAACCCATGTTGAATTATTTCTCAAGTCCAGTTCTTAAACAAAGAGCATACCAGTACGCGATAGCCTCTGCATCCCTGAGTGACCTTTTAATGTATTCCCGGCCTACTCCCCGTTCTACCAGTAGCATTGAGACCTATCATTATTAAACTATGAACAGAGCATTATTGATTACACACAAGTAGGTCAGGTCATTACATAAGATAACAGGTACGTGTGAGGTAGGCTGGCTGGCAGGAGTCTTTTAAAGTCGACAACACTGCTGGCTTGTACAGGGGGGGGGGGATCTTATAGAGCACATTCAACTAAAACACTTATGATACATATTATTTAGATATTTATATTTTTATTATGAATACTGCGGATATTGAGAGGACATGTGACATTCACTTACAGTTAACATTTAAAAGGTTAAATGAATAAGACTGAAGTAGCCTATACATGTGGCTAGAAACAAACGGTGGTATGGAAGTGTTAGGTGATCATCATGTACGTGTTGTGTACACACACAGACACTTGTCTTGTGCGTTCTTGTTTATGTTTTCTGGTTCAGACAGGACAGCCGGTAATTAAGGGGATATGTATAGACGGTTCAAAATGAGAGAACGATGTTAAACACAGTCTCCAAGCGTTTGATTATGAAGAACTATAAACATTTTTCAAATTCATAATAGAAGTCGCATGATCTTATATACCATCAAATATAATGTTTATTTTTTACCGTCCCGAAATCCAAAATCCTCTCGGAATCCAATCCATCATTGTGATTATATTGATTAACTTTTCTCCGAATATGTTCTGGCTGCGCAAAAAATAGATTTGAACACCTTTTGGGACATGAGTTAACGCAGTATTTCACAATCAATATTATTTTAATAAAGTAGCTGCCGATAATTCCCATTACTCTAGCTCTGTTACTAATGAGAAATTCCATTCTGAATTTGATAAAAATAATGGTTAACAGTACCCCTCATAAGATAGGAGTAATTTACATTCAAAAATAAGCTGTGTAATAGATTCTACCGCTTTCATACAAAAGTTACACAATTTACTGCATCATATATACGTCTTACTAACACCTGTACATATGATGGCCTTAATCAAAAAATCACCACAACAAATCACCGCTTCTTATTCACTCGTGACTGTTACTTACTAATATTACACACACACACACACACACACACACACATACACAGTACACACACAGAACACACACACACACAGTACACACACACACACTTTTATGTGTCCATCTGACAGCCGAAAAGCACTGTGTGTGTTTTGTGTGTGTGTGTGTGTGTGTGTGTGTGTGTGTAGCGACAACATAGGTCACTTACGCTGTTGTGAATACAGTGTACTACTAGGAAATAATGGTGATGACGAAGGGGGGGGGGGCTTATTCCAAGGATCAGCAAGTGATGACGATCTAGAGGATGAACATCAAGAAAAGCAGCATCATCTTGTAACAAAAAAGTGCTCAATTTGTAAAATAAAACTATAAACACATGTCGGGGTTCTTGAAGAGGCTGTTTAATATGTTTTGGCATTATGTCACACTGTAAGTATGTTAAACGAAGTTAGGGTATAGTTTCAAATGCAGTTCTTTTCGGTCAATCATATTGGACACATGTACTTAGTTCAGTTATGGACCAGGTGATGAATAGTTTGCTTCTTTCTCTCATTTGTTACAAAATTCAGGTCAAAACAAATCTTCACAAATCCTTGCGATATCATTTATTGTTACTAGTAACAAATACAGTCATTGGATTCATGCCGGAGTCAATGTTGTACTTGTAGACCCGTGATTTGCTGGCTCAAGATCGTCATCATGATGAATTGCTGAAAAACAAGGAAAATGTACAGTATGAAATATTATGAATATATATATTATGATAGCCATCTTGCTGTTTAGAAAAACTATTTAAAAGGATAGCACCAGTATTGAGAACACCAGTGGGATTGGTTAAGTGCAGTATTTCCTGTCAGCAATCAAATCCTCCGAAAGTAGAAATGTTTCCTCAAATGCAAATTGAGGATGCAAAAATATTTTTTTGGTAGAAATATGAATCTTTTGAATAAATTCTCTCTCCATTCAATTCCAGATCAATCATTTATGCGTTCTACTAAAACAATAAATATTCATCATAATCCCTGTGTTTATCTTTTTTTTTTTAATTCTTAAATTAGGCTCAAATGCATTTATAACGATCAACTAAAATTACACATGTAGATATAAAACACCCACGCTTTCAGCAAAGCGCCTTTTCCAGGGACTGTTTAAGCATAATTTTAACATTAAAGCCACCTACAGTCACAATCATCATCAAAATGGAAGGACCTCCTTATCTCTCGAGAATGCATAAATAAATATCCAAACAGCGCACCTGAAATTAAGAATACATAATTCGCATGTTAGCGACATTATGATAGGCTCCAACAAACATATGCTTGTGGCGTTATGATAGGCTCTTACAAATATGTTAGCGGCATTATGATAGGCTCTTAAAAATGTGTGAGCGACATTATAATAGGCTCTTATACACATGTTAAAGAAATTATGATAGGCTCTAAGAAACATTATAATAGACTTTAATGATCACTGGGAGGGTCTACAGTCTATCGGATATTTAGCTGCTATGCCCCGATATTCAACCAGATCCAAAAATAAAAACAAGGCAGCAAAGCTGTCCAATACACAGACAGAAATCAGAAAATAATAATTCACAACATTTTAATTTTAACAATAAACTATATAATTTCCAGAAAAGTTGACAGGTTTTTCAATTGTAGCTGTATTTTAGTCCTATGTTACCTTTCTGTAAGTTTGAGAAGAGTAAGTGACATGGTTTTTCCTTTAATGGTCACTATGGGGGCAGTGCCCACTTAATTTTTGATACAAAATTACATAATGCTTAACAGCATACTGACCATCAATTTTAAATAATAAAATAAAAGTACATGAATATTCAGAAAATGGAAGTTCAGAGTCACACCTTGAAAATGCCAAAATGTAAACTGTGATGAAATGAGTTTATTTCCATTTTCAACATCTTTTTACATAAAACAAAATAATTATTTTACTGTCATTTTTAAAAGATCATCTAAGAAAATTGTTGACATAGGGAAAANTTGCATTTTAAAAATACCCTTTGGTATCAAGGGTCTGCTATAATGTGAGAAATCAAGGAGTAGGTATACAGATTCTTCATATTTCAGCTCATCCGAGGCACATTCGAAACATTCTGGCGGGATATAAAATCCCCGTCACACTAGAGGGGGAATGATTAAGAATGGCGTCTGAAATACAATTATTTGTGCATTCCAGGATATTCGAAGAGCATTCTAAAAACATTCTAAAAATTCTCAGTCCATTCCTCTGGCGTTATTTATGCACTCTTGGCATCGTGTTACATTCTAAACATGTTAGAAAGTAATTTTAATTAAGTATTTTAGGTATTTCAGCTGCATTATGTTTGAATTCTTTATATTTCAAACCATCACAGCCATACCGGGAGCAGTTGACTGCATTTGAGTTCGCTTCATATATCATTCGAGGCATCTTCTTTCACACTTCTGCCTGTATTCGGCCAGCAGTCAAACCACACTCGTAGGGCATTTGAATTTCATTCGGAATATTCTGACTTCAATTTGAAATTCCCTCCCGATTATGGCAGGAATTCTTCAATTTATTCAATCTGGCTGGTTCTACCTTGATTCCTGCTGGTTCCGAATAAGTGCGACGGGGGCCTTAAGTCGCGTACCAGTTCGAATATCCCTCGAATGTGATCAGAATGTTTTGAATGTTGTGAGAACATTAAGAATGCAGTCACAGTGCTGTTAGAATACTATTCAAATGCCATTCGATAATTTTCCACTTGGAATGCGCTTCGAAAGTTTTTAACATTCAGGCCGACCACAAGAATGGGTAAAACTATTTGAAATGCACTCAGAATTTTTAGAATGCTCTTTGAATATTCAGGAATGCACAAAGAATTGTCTTTCCTATGGCATTCTTGTTCATTCTGCCTCTAGTGTGACGGGGGTATAAGGAATAGCTCTTTCGCGTTCTTTAAAAAATAGGCCTACAAGTTTTTGTTTTAATTTAAAAATTCGGACACCCTACTAAACTGCAATGTTGCCATTGCGCGATCCACAGTTCTAACCGATTATCCTCATCTAAATCGTTTACTTTAGGCAACTAACATGAAATATTCGAAAGGCTAACCTTTCTCGCTGATAACAATACATCCATGGTTTAATAATTTTACTTGCTGTCAAAAATATCCAACAATAAACACGAGCATAAAAATCCCGCAGACTGCACTCTCTCCCCGAATGCACATGCGTATATCGGATGTAATTCCCTGGTCGGAGGCAGTTGTAAATTTACATGCATATTTAGAAGAGTTTGTAACTTACAAAACTTCGAGAATACCAACTGACAAGAACGATCGGACTTACGTGAAAAGTTACAAGAATTTGTAAGTTACAACCTTTCGAGAATACGGCCCCAGTTGTTAATAGATGGCGCAGCGAGTAGTTTTTAGAGGACATTGTGTTTTCGGTGCAAAGATGAAAAACCACCTTCGTCAGGGTTTACAATTGTAGCCTATTTTTTTATTTTTTTTTTTTTGGATTATGCGATATATTTCTATTTTTTCTTTTTACCTACACAGTTTGGTAAAATGTTTTTTCTCCATGATTATATCGGCTTATAGAAATTTAAATTAAAATTGTTTTGAAAAAATAGATGTACTGTAATTTTGAATTGTTATAAGTGTTAATTTCTATAAATATGTTCAGGCTCTTTTTAAATAAAAGAGAAAAATAACAGGAATAGAAGTTGAAGCAGAGTTTCGTTTTGTTGATATCGAATAAGAATTTAAAAAAATAATGGGGAATATTTACTGGTCGTTGATGCTGTTTCCCCTCTCAAGCTCTGACCAGGGAATTATATCGGATATAATTCCCTGCTCTGACTAAGCGGAGTGGAAACCGGATGTGAAGAGTGATAAGCCCCCGAGTGTCCAGACCCCGAGCTGCACGCCAAGGGGGCGAGGGTCATTCCCTAAAAACGCCCCCCTCCCCTGCAAATAACCTGTATCCGTCCCTGCGCCTCCGGTCACCCCCCCTTTCAATGA